AACAGGAGTCCGCAGTAAAGTTTTCCAAGGGCTCCAGGCCTACAGAGCTGAAGGGTTGCTGGGCTCACGGGTTCCAGAACCAGCTGATGAACAGGAATTGAGGTGATGGATTAGAGCTGCCTTAGCTGGTCAGCAGTGTGGATATGCTCGCCGGACGAATGTATATACTTGTATGCACACTCGTGCGAACACGTATGCACTCATACAGGCGCGCGCGCGCGCACACACACCACACACACAACACACACACAACACAAACAGAACAACCACACACAACACATAACACTCTCTCTCACTCTCTACCCCTCCTCCTCTCTCTCTCTCTTCTACTCACTCTCTCTCTCTCTCTCTCAGTGATAACATACAATACTCGGCGTGGAATGTAGAAAGGTGGACAGAGACAGGATGTTCCAGAGAGGGGACACAGAAACAAGGAGTCACAATTGGAAGTTGAAGACCCAGATAAGTCAAAGGGATGTTAGGAAATATTTCTTAAGTCATAGAGCAGTCAGGAAGTGGAATAGCCTAGCAAGTGAGGTAGTGGAGGCAGGATCCATACATAGCTTTAAGATGAAGTATGATAAAGCTCATGGAGCAGGGAGAGAGAGGACCTAGTAGCACTCAGTGAAGAGGCGGGGCCAGGAGCTGAATATCGACCCCTTCAACCACAATTAGGCGAGTACAATTAGGTGAGTACACTCACTCAGATTAATGGGAAGAATAACAACAGAAGAGAACAGTAATACACTTGAAGACCTCAGCAGATTACTAATATGGTCGAACAAGTGGCTTCTCGAGTTCAGTCTGAACAAATGCAACGTTATGTGAATTTTACAGAGAGCAGACCGAACACAGAGTACAGCATAGATGGAGAGAAGCTGCAAATATCAGAGCGTGAAAATAAGCTGAAGGTAAATATAACACCAAGAATATTGTCAGAAATACACACAAACCGTATAACGTGAGCGGCATATTCAAGACTAGCAAACCTCTGAATAGCATTCACGAACTTGAATAAATAATAGTTCACAACATTATATACGAAATAGGTTAATAATTGAGGACGCGGCTCCAGCATGGAGCCTACACTTGATAAAACGTGCAACGGAGCTGACAGGTTCAGTCGTCTACAACCCGTCTAGTATAAGAACCAAGAGAGATGCACTGTGAAGAGAGGTTGAAGGCACTGGTATCAACTTTGGTAAGTGATACCGACAAATTGGTTTAAAAAGTCACGTGAATACACACTAGGACATTAGAAAACGTCTTCTAATAAAAATGTCCAAGTGTTTGTTCACGTGTCTTTTTAAACCAAGTTGAAGGAACTAAACCAGATGACTCTGGCGAAGAAAAGGAAGAGAAGACCAATGATTACAACATACGAAATTCTAAGAGGGATAGATAGGGACAGACTGAATTGTGGGATCAGGATCAAGGAGGCACAAGTGGAAACTGAAAACATAGATGAACCTTAGAGCTGTAACAGGCAATATTTCTTTAGTCTCAGGGTGGTTGAAAAGTGGAATGACTTGTATGAGGCAGTGGTGGAGGAAAACTCAATACACGGTTTCAAGAGTGGCTATGATAGAGTCCGAGAGATCATATATCCGTTATACCTATCAAATTGGCGGGGCCAGGACCCCTGCAAACACAAATCGTCCAGTACATTTCGATAAATATACACACACGTGCGCTCACACACGCATTTGTACATGACCTGACATTCCCAGGTTATAACATCTGGTCCTGATACTCTTTTTTTTTTTATTTTATTTTATGATATTCTGCCTCTGTGAAGGTTTCCCCGCTTTAAAATAATACATAATGCACCCACAGTGTTCCTATGAAGGTCATTACCTCCACTTAGGGTTGCTTTTTTCATCCTTCCTGTCTGATTTTCCTTTTTACACAGCAGTGTTGTTCGGTTACTGTTATACTTAGTTCTCTCTCAGTACACCATAAAGACTTTCATATGCGATTACGGCAGTATAAGGTCGCTATATGCGGTCACGACGACACATGGTCACTATATACGGTCACGGCAACACAAGGTCGTTTGCTCGCCAAATCGAAGGAGCAGGAGCACACATTCTCACCCCCCCCCTCCCCCCTCCCTTCCCCCTCCCTTCCCTACAGTCAGACCTGAATATCTTCCACAAGAATTGCCACCCATTATCCAAGTGCTATATGGCCCCTGTTGGTTTAGCACTTCCATTTGAATATAATAATCCCACGAGAGTGTTTTGAAACAAAACGGTAGATAATTCCTGACCATCTAACTACTGCCTAATCCACTTGGCCTCAATAGTGGGAAAATTATTAGAATAAAAGTAACATATATAATTAGAAATCATTTCGAGCATAAGCTGCTTAATGTTCTTGTGCGCGATAGATTGTATGTGAGACGAGAATAATGAAGTTTGGATCAGTGATTGAGGGAACACATTGTGCTCGCCTGACTAAACAGCCTTGTGTAAACGGTGGGGATATTTCCTTGTTCGTCTAATTTTGCTGATAATTATCCAGTGACATGGAACGAATTATGGTTCCGGATTGTGGAATGTGAAAAAGAGAATTTGAAATTGAATTATTCATAATATGAGAGTGAATTATTCACAATATGAGAGTGAATTATTCACAATATGAGAGTGAATTATTCACAAGATCGGAGAGTGAATTATTCACAATATGAGTGAATTATTCACAATATGAGAGTGAATTATTCACAATATGAGAGTGAATTATTCACAATATGAGAGTGAATTATTCACAATATGAGAGTGAATTATTCACAATATGAGAGTGAATTATTCACAATATGAGTGAATTATTCACAATATGAGAGTGAATTATTCACAATATGAGAGTGAATTATTCACAATATGAGAGTGAATTATTCACAATATGAGAGTGAATTATTCACAATATGAGAGTGAATTATTCACAATATGAGAGTGAATTATTCACAATATGAGAGTGAATTATTCACAATATGAGAGTGAATTATTCATAATATGAGAGTGAATTATTCATAATATGAGAGTGAATTATTCACAATATGAGTGAATTATTCACAATATGAGAGTGAATTATTCACAATATGAGAGTGAATTATTCACAATATGAGAGTGAATTATTCACAATATGAGAGTGAATTATTCACAATATGAGAGTGAATTATTCATAATATGAGAGTGAATTATTCATAATATGAGAGTGAATTATTCACAATATGAGAGTGAATTATTCATAATATGAGAGTGAATTATTCACAATATGAGAGTGAATTATTCACAATATGAGAGTGAATTATTCACAATATGAGAGTGAATTATTCACAATATGAGAGTGAATTATTCACAATATGAGTGAATTATTCATAATATGAGAGTGAATTATTCACAATATGAGAGTGAATTATTCACAATATGAGAGTGAATTATTCACAATATGAGAGTGAATTATTCACAATATGAGAGTGAATTATTCACAATATGAGAGTGAATTATTCACAATATGAGAGTGAATTATTCACAATATGAGTGAATTATTCACAATATGGAGTGAATTATTCATAATATGAGAGTGAATTATTCACAATATGAGAGTGAATTATTTCACAATATGAGAGTGAATTATTCACAATATGAGAGTGAATTATTCACAATATGAGAGTGAATTATTCACAATATGAGTGAATTATTCACAATATGAGAGTGAATTATTCATAATATGAGAGTGAATTATTCACAATATGAGAGTGAATTATTCACAATATGGAGAGTGAATTTATTCACAATATGAGAGTGAATTATTCACAATATGAGAGTGAATTATCACAATATGAGAGTGTAATTATTCACAATATGAGTGAATTATTCACAATATGAGAGTGAATTATTCATAATATGAGAGTGAATTATTCACAATATGAGAGTGAATTATTCACAATATGAGAGTGAATTATTCACAATATGAGAGTGAATTATTCACAATATGAGAGTGAATTATTCACAATATGAGAGTGAATTATTCATAATATGAGAGTGAATTAGTCACGACAGTAGCAAATTAATAGAGATAGTGTGAATATGATAATGTTAGTAAAGATATACTTTTATGTTTAAAGCGATGAATAACCAAATGGTTCTAATGCTATGTAAGTAATATAAAAAAAAAAAAGTCGGGTTTTCAAGAAGTTAAGAACAACTTAAGTTGTCCTGTATTTCTATGTTATGCGTCTTTCCTCTAAATTTACTAGCAATGCATGAAACAAATTGTGTGTGTGTATATAATATATTATATATATATATGTATTATATATATATATATTATATATATATATATATATATATATTATATATATATATAATATTATATATATAATAATTGCATACACACACAATTGTGTGTGTACTCCTGTTAACCCATTGTGGGCTTAGTTCCTAGACCTTTCGTGTGTCAGTCGTGCCGAATAGGTAAAACTTGCTATTTTGGCTTAACTAGCAAGGATCTTCTTGCCGAATAAGGCAAGCGAAAATTTGTGTATGCAATAATTTCGCAAAAAATATTCTGCGCCTAACGATAAAAATATATTTCATTGTGTTTGTTTATTATTAAATTATTGTAAACCTGTCTATTTAGTTGGATTAGGCTAAATTAAATTGCGCTGGTTATAATAAGATTAGGTAAGTTTTCTAAGGCTCTTTTGGTACAAAGTTATTATTTTTTACATTAACATAAATGAAAAAAATATATATTTACACGTAAAAGAAAATGTTTTAGAAAGGACGTAATTTTAAATGAGTTCTTGCTAACTGACCAGTTTTACCTATTTGGCACATGTCCATATGCTCCTGCGCTACCGTCTACACTACACGATAGATATAAGGTGCACAATACAGTAGCCGCTTCGGCAGCAAAATTTAGTCTGCATCTTTACAGGACTGTATCTCTTGGCACTTGACATGGTTTTCAGGATAGCTGTTTCGTCTTTTCAGGGATTCCAGTCGAAGCTACTGTTTGGCTCCAAGGAGATCGTTGCCATCAGTTGCTCCTGGTGTAAGTCAGCCTACCACAACAAGGAGAGTTGCTTCAACATCAGCAAGATAGAGGAGACTTGCTCCCTTGGTGAGTAGTCTCTACCAGAACTTTACTGTTATGATTGTATGCATGAGAATACAATAAATCAGTAGGGGTCATGCAGGGACTGGGAATAAGGTGAATTTATCTAAAGGGACAGTAACTCAAATTTCTTGGATCAAAATGTCTTTACCACCATCAAGGTGCTCTGCTTGAAGGGACCAAGACTGGCGTGTTAAAGAGGGAAAGAACGTTCCGCCAGTACGTAATGTTATTTTATAATATTTTCTTCATGAATGATACGGTGTTCTCCAGCTTGAATTTTTCTCCCAAGAGTCGCAGCCAAGTAGAATTCTCGATTCCCTTCAAATCCGACTCCATTCTCATACCAGCAGTGACGAACGTTCACATCTGAACGTATCCTGATGATGATCGGCCACCTCTTTGGCAGACGTATCGCGGCCTTTTTTATGCACGTATAATATTTTTGCTACACGTTCAAAAATACTTTTTTATACAATTGTTTAACTTAATCTAACGTTAAAAAAATAGCATTTGAAAATTTGCAGGATGAACTAGGATTGACGGTGTTCATATTAGGAAATTGGCGTAGTTGAAATGAAGACAGGTTAATTTGAAGGTTTCCCTCCCCCCCTCCTTCCGCGGGCCACGGGGTGAGGGTTGTCCGGTCCCAGACCAGATCAGACCTGGCTTGGCCTGGCCCGGCTGGCCCGGAATACATAAGTAACAAGATTGAGGAGACTTGTTCCTTCCTTCGGTACTTGAGGGAACGAAATCAGGTAAATGTTTTGTCTTCATTAAGTTGTGTGTGTGTGTGCACATTTCTGCCATCTGTGTTGGCGTGCGTGCAATATATGTGTATATATGTACTCGTTAAAGAATGGGGCACTTGTTGCAACATTTGGGAATCTCTGTTGAGAAAACGTTTCGCCAGTCAGTGGCTTCTTCAGTCCAATACAGAGAATAACAGGAATATGAGGAGGAGTTTGAGGTAATCAGTCCTTCAGCCTGCCTGAGGGACTGATTACCTTATACTCCTCATCTTTCTCTGTACTGAACTGAAGAGTCTACTGGCTGGCGAAACGTCTTCTCAATAAAGATATCCAAATGTTGCACAAGTGTCTTACTCTTTAACTTGTTTGTTTTCAAACCCATTTTCATCACATTTGTACTCGTTTATGTACGTGAGTGTGCTTGCCTGTACACTGCCCTTAAGTTACATGCAGTCACCCGAGTGTTGTTTGTGCTTGGTGGTAATGTATCATCTCCCCCCCCCTGTGTCTACATATTCCGGTCTCCCTCTTCTCTTTCCTTCTTCCTCCTCCCTCCCTCCATTTCAGCCTTCCCTTCCTTCCTCTACCTCTCATCTTCCTACTCTCTTCCTCTACCCATCATCCTTCTCCGCCTTCTACCCCTCATCATCCTCCTTCCACTACCCTTCATCCTCCTCCTTCCACTACCCTTCATCCTCCTCCTTCCACTACCCCCTCATCCTCCTCCTTCCACTACCCCCTCATCCTCCTCCTTCCCACTAGAAGTGGAGCCGGGATGTGGATAAATTGAACACGTGTTTAAGAAAGTGCGTCATCTTGGCCACAACAACACTGTCAGTGTTGTGCAGAAATGGTGCAGCAAAATGGTTCACCCTGAAATTATTTCTTCCTCTTTTGTGAATATAAGTAAACACGACGCTGTGTTTCAGTATTTCATGTTAGTGAACGTAAGGAAACACGACGCTGTGTTTATTTCCCATTTTAGTCTAAGGAAGAACGTCGCTGTTTTGAGTATACCGTGTTAATGGGAAACACGACCACCTTTTGAGTATCCCGTGAAGTAAAAGGGAAAACCGACTCGACGCTTTTTTGATTAAAAACCGGTTTAAAAAAGGAAACACGACTCGACCTTTTTGATTCCCGTTTAGTATAAGAAACCGACTCGCGCTTTTTTGAGTATACCGTTTAGTAAAGGAAACACGACCGACGCGGGTTTGATACCCCTGTTGCAAATTGAACCAGCGTAAATAACCCAGATTTTTTTTTGATGTTACTTTAAACTTCTTGAATCGGCAAACGTTTACCGACGAAAAAGCAAGGGAAACTTAAGTTTTAGACTGATCCCATACCATCAAAAAATTTGCCGAACCCCCGATCCGAATTTTAGCGACCCCAATTTAAACAATTTGAAAAAGAGGATAATAATAGTATGCTGTAAAAAAAAATAAAACGATTGAAAACCATTTCTAACTTGGAAAACATAAAAATATTTATAGGGTTTTTTTATGTTGTGTTGCAAAAATTGTGCTAGGTGCTGAGCAGATTTTTTGTGCGGGGTTTGGCAGTGTTATTGGCTAGGGCTGAGCAGAGTTATTTTGGGAAATGTTGAGCGGTTATTGTCAGGGGCTGACAGAGTTTTTTGTGCTAGGTTTGAGCGTTTATTGGGGCTAGGGTGCTGACAAGTTATTTTGCTAGGTGCTGGGGGGTGTTATTGTGCTAGGTCGAGCAATTTTTGCTAGGTTTGAGCAGTGTTTTTGTGCTAGGTGCTGAGCAGAGTTATTGTGCTAGGTGCTGAGCAGTGTTATTGTGCTAGGTGTTGAGCAGTGTTATTGTGCTAGGTGCTGAGCAGAGTTATTGTGCTAGGTGCTGAGCAGTGTTATTGTGCTAGGTGCTGAGCAGTGTTATTGTGCTAGGTGCTGAGCAGTGTTATTGTGCTAGGTGTTGAGCAGTGTTATTGTGCTAGGTGCTGAGCAGTGTTATTGTGCTAGGTGCTGAGCAGAGTTATTGTGCTAGGTGCTGAGCAGTGTTATTGTGCTAGGTGTTGAGCAGAGTTATTGTGCTAGGTGCTGAGCAGTGTTATTGTGCTAGGTGTTGAGCAGTGTTATTGTGCTAGGTGTTGAGCAGTGTTATTGTGCTAGTGATCTGAGCAGTGTTATTGTGCTAGGTGTTGAGCAGTGTTATTGTGCTAGGTGTTGAGCAGTGTTATTGTGCTAGGTGCTGAGCAGTGTTATTGTGCTAGGTGTTGAGCAGAGAGTTATTGTGCTAGGTGCTGAGCAGAGTTATTGTGCTAGGTGCTGAGCAGTGTTGTGCTAGGTTCTGAGCAGTGTTATTGTGCTAGGTGCTGAGCAGTGTTGTGCTAGGTTCTGAGCAGTGTTATTGTGCTAGGTGTTGAGCAGGTTATTGTGCTAGGTGCTGAGCAGTGTATGTGCTAGTCTAGCAGTGTTGTGCTAGGTGTGAGCAGGTTATTGTGCTAGGTGCTGAGCTGAGTGTTATTGTGCTAGGTGTTGAGCAGTGTTATTGTGCTAGGTGTCTGAGCAGTGTTATTGTTGCTAGGTGTCTGAGCAGTGTTATTGTGCTAGGTTCTGAGCAGTGTTATTGTGCTAGGTGTTGAGCAGAGAGTTATTGTGCTAGGTGCTGAGCAGTGTTATTGTGCTAGGTGTTGAGCAGAGTGTTATTGTGCTAGGTGCTGAGCAGTGTTATTGTGCTAGGTGCTGAGCAGTGTTGTGCTAGGTTCTGAGCAGTGTTATTGTGCTGGTGTTGAGCAGAGTTATTGTGCTAGTGCTGAGCAGTGTTATTGGTGCTAGGTGTTGAGCAGATGTTATTGTGCTAGGTGCTGAGCAGTGTTATTGTGCTAGTGCTGAGCAGTGTATTGTGCTAGGTCTGAGCAGTGTTTTGTGCTAGGTGCTGAGCAGTGTTTGTGCTAGGTTTGAGCAAGTGTTATTGTGCTAGGTCTGAGCAGTGTTATTGTGCTAGGTGCTGAGCAGAGTTTGTGCTAGGTGTCTGAGCAGTGTAGTTGTGCTAGAGTTGAGCAGTGAGAGTTATTGTGCTAGGTGTGCTGAGCAGTGTTATTGTGCTAGTGTCTGAGCAGTGTTATTGTGCTAGGTTCTGAGCAGATTGGGGGGGGGCTAGGTGCTGAGCAGAGTTGTTGCGCTAGGTGCGTTGAGCATGTTTATTGTGCTAGGTCGTGAGCAGTGTTTGTGCTAGGTGTAGAGCAGTGTTATTGTGCTAGGTGCTGAGCAGAGTTGATTTTGTGCTAGGTGCTGCAGTGTTATTGTGCTAGGTGCTGAGCAGTGTTGTGCTAGGTGCTGAGCAGTGTTATTGTGCTAGGTGCTGAGCAGTGTTGTGCTAGGTGCTGAGCAGTGTTATTGTGCTAGGTGCTGAGCAGTGTTATTGTGCTAGGTGCTGAGCAGTGTTATTGTGCTAGGTCCTGAGCAGTGTTGTGCTAGGTGTTAAGCAGTGTGTTGTGCTAGGTGCTGAGCAGTGTTATTGTGCTAGGTGCTGAGCAGTGTTATTGTGCTAGGTGCTGAGCAGTGTTATTGTGCTAGGTGCTGGGCAGTGTATTGTGCTAGGTGCTGAGCAGAGTTGTTGCGCTAGGTGCTGAGCAGTGTTATTGTGCTAGGTCCTGAGCAGTGTTGTGCTAGGTGCTAAGCAGTGTTATTGTGCTAGGTGCTAAGCAGAGTGTTGTGCTAGGTGCTGAGCAGTGTTATTGTGCTAGGTGCTGAGCAGTGTTGTGCTAGGTGCTGAGCAGTGTTATTGTGCTAGGTGCTGAGCAGTGTTGTGGCTAGTGCTGAGCAGTGTTATTGTGCTAGGTGCTGAGCATGTTATTGTGCTAGGTGCATGACAGTGTTATTGTGCTAGGTCTGAGCAGTGATTGTGCTATGGTCTGGCAGTGTGATTGTGCTAGGTGCTGAGCAGTGTTATTGTGCTAGGTGCTGAGCAGTGTTGTGCTAGGTGCTGAGCAGTGTTATTGTGCTAGGTGCTGAGCAGTGTTGTTGTGCTAGGTGCTGAGCAGTGTTATTGTGCTAGGTCCTGAGCAGTGTTGTGCTGAGCAGTGTTTGGCTAGGTGCTGAGCAGTGTTATTGTGCTAGGTCCTTAGCAGTGTTATTGTGCTAGGTGCTAAGCAGTGTGTTGTGCTAGGTGCTGAGCAGTGTTATTGTGCTAGGTGCTGAGCAGTGTTATTGTGCTAGGTGCTGAGCAGTGTTATGTGCTAGGTGCTGAGCAGTGTTGTGCTAGGTGCTGAGCAGTGTTATTGTG